AGGTTAGAAAGTTAAATATATAAACAAGTAAATTTGGTAGAAAGAATTTGATCGTTGTGATACCTAAAAATAACTTACCTAATTTTTGCCTAAAACTAAAGTGTACACTGGAGGCAGGGCCGGACTTTAAGCTGATCCAGGGAGCAGACCGTAGTTGGCGGGTAAGTGAGAACTGTATATACAGGGTCGCCTAAATTGGCAGTGTTATAAACAATTGAGACTTTTGAACTGAGAGTAGAGTGGGGGTAAAGACTAATTGAACTATTGTGTGAAACGGGAGAGTTAGAGACTAATAAATAACTTTGATAATAAAGACTAGTAGTGTCGTGTATTAGTCATTGATTTACAAATAACTTAGTCATTAAAAAAATAGACGTCTAGTTAACTGGGAAAAGGGAGAAAAAACTATTATTGTGAACTTTGGTATATAAACTGTATGAACTTTGTGTAACTGTAAACAATGACATCAAGAGAGAAGTTGGTTGCGTGCTCACTCCGTCCAGAGCGCGCCCTAGAAGAAGATCGGCAAAGTGAATCCCTCACATCCACCGAGTCCTTGGAAGGAGCCTTTAACGCCCCGGTGGAAGTCGTGCTGGAAGGTACGCTGCCGCTGCAGCGAAATCTAGGTGGGATGCGCCCTGGGGTGAGCTTTCCCGATCCCGTAACTCTTGAACCGAATAGTACTTACCTGGATATCGACTCCAGAGGGTCCGTCGGCCCCTCAAACGCAGGCGCGCTGCAAGGCGCTGAATTTGAGGAGCGCGTTCGAGAACATGGCGCCCAACGAGAATGGCTTGAAACCGAGCCTGAGATCCAGAGTCCTCATGCTCTCACGATTGATCAAGAGGGCGAGAAAATTGAAAAAAACAAAGTACCTATCCTAGACCGACTAATAGAAGTCGAAGATAGAACACCTGTTCTGGGGTACAGGAACCAATCCCAGTGGCGCCCAAAACTTATAGAGAAAACTACCTAATAAAAAATGGTAGAAATGTTCAGTACGGCTGTGGAGAAGCTAGCTGTAACCTTGAGAGGTCAAGGTAGGCAAGAAACGAATCGGGTAGAATGGCGGGAGTTTGAGCCAGTCTACGAGGGAACGGATTATGAAAATCCCCGGGAGTTTATACAACGGATCCGGGAGAGTTGTGAGCGAAATCAAATTCCAACACAACACTGGACGAAATACGCAGCTGCGAGGTTAAGAGGTGAGGCTAGTAAGTGGTATGCCGCCTATCAGATGTTTGACTGGTCATTTTTCGAATTTGTGGGGAATTTACTAGACCGGTTCGATAACTTACAATACCGAATGAGGTTATAGAGAGAGGCCTTTTGTAAAACGCAAGGTCGAGAAGAAGCCAGATTATTTATCGCTCAAAAGAGGCCCATATTTACCAGATTAGGAATGGGAAACGAAGTAGAAATGGTACTTCAGATAAAAGCGACCAGAAACCCAACTTCAGCTGGTAGGAACTAAGATAACCACGATAGAGGAGCTAATGAAATTGGCTACAGAAATGGAAAGTCAGTTGAAATTGATGGGTGGAGGTACAAGTAATCCAAATTCCGGAATAAGTCAAGAACTAGTGCCGGTAAGACCGAGACCGAGTTATGTTACTTGCCGATTCTGTGGGGGTAACCACTATAACAGGGAATGTCCTCGTCGGGCTCTACCAGGCCCTAGTTCCCAAGAAGTGGAGAGACCATCTAACGACCAAGCACCCAATCCAGGACGATCCCAAGAAGAGCGAAGCCAGGGAAACTAGCCCCGGCCCTCTGCTTCGGAGTCAGTGGGGGGTCGATGGAAATGGGCTCCATACAAGAATCAACCGATCAAACACAGTTACCCCGGATAATAACAAAATACCTGAATTATGACCTAGTAACGTTAGTGGATACAGGAGCCACGAATTCGTTCATGCGCCTGGAATACTATGAAGATGACGTACCGCGGAATGGCAAAAAAGTAGTGCTAGCTGACGGACAAGAAGTATGGGTGCAAGGCCCAGTAGAAGTCGAAATACAGATTGGAACTGGTTGGACTAAAGTAAATACTTACCTAATGGAGAAGCTCAAGGAAGAGTTCATTTTGGGCATGGACTGGTTATGTGCCGAGGAGGCGATAATCGATTATCGACAAGGTGGAATGTACTTCGGAGTACAACACCGCCAAATCGTCAGTTGGAACATAACGCGGCGAGAAACGCGAGTGAAATTCGACGATAAATGTTGACCAGATAGTGATAAAAACTTACCTGATTTCCGGAGCAGAAATTCGAGTAAGGAGAAAATGCTGCCATTAGAAGAGGATAGAATAAGTCCACCATCACCGCCACCTGAAAAAAAGGGAAGGAAACAAACCATTAATATTGCAAGTTGCCGGTAACAAGGAAGAACCGACTGTTGCCACCCGATCAAGAATACCCCCCATTTGCGTCCAGCAACTGAGTTTAATCCAAATTGATGACGGAATCCAACCACCGCTGTACGAACGGATAATCATGGCCCAACAGGAAAGTCCAGAGTATGCAGAGACCCGGTTACGCATCCAAAGGTTACAGGCCGGTGAAGAGAAAGCCGACTTGCCGTGGAAAAGAACGTTGAGGGACCAATATACTGTCTGGGACAACCTAGTGTGGTACACGGGTGACAAAAATGAAGAAGTACGTCTGGTGGTTCCCATAAATTTTTGGCGAGAAGTAATGAATCACTACCACGAGAGTTCCGAGGCGGGACACCCGAATAGGAACGAAACTATAAGAACGATAACCGCCCTGTATTATTGGCCAGTAATGAAAAAACAAATCAAGATACATGTTCGAAACTGTCTCATTTGTGTAGCGACCAAACATGGCGGTGCCTGGCGAGAAAGAAAACCAGTAAAGTCCCAACTCTTAAGACGACCGTGGTGGGTGGTCAATAGTGACGTAATGAGGCCTTATAAGATGACGAAACAACGACAAATTCGCAGAAATCAAGAAGCTTTTAACAGAGACGAATACCCTAGGAATGATCGACCCAAGGTTCAGTTCCGGGTTGAGGATCGAGTACTGACCCGGAACCCGGTGGGTGTACGATCTCCACTAGGACCTCCCTGGCTTGGTCCCTATACTATCGTAAGGGTTTGTGGATTGAATGTGTACGAGGTTAATCGCCTTACATCCCAGGTCCTGTTACATATCGATGATCTTAGACCCTGGCAAGGACGTCCCCAAGTGGAAGACGAGGGAGAAGATCCTATGCACATACCTAGGACTTGTAACATGCAATTTACGTTAATCGGTATAAAACTAAATAAATAAGTATCACATTGCATTTATTCTTTATTAATATGGTATTACATTACATTTTCTCATTGTAATTCATTTCAAATGCAGGTTGTTTCCCAGGAATCGTTGTGGGTCCTGTCACCTTAATTACAAGGATGTGTATTGTGTATTGCCTAAAATATATTGAGGGTCTAAATTTTTAACCACCAAAACAATTATAATCGTTACCTTAATGCGTTCATATCCAGGTCTAGTAAATAATATTTAATCGTTCACAACTGTCGCCGGCCGTGAGATCCTAGGGAGAAATCGTATTAGATCCACCCAAGTGCATGCCTAGCTCCTAGAATAGAAATAAACATTCAATCATACTGATAACCTAAAATGTAAACAAGCAACTAATACTTAGTAGATTATCGATAGACTATACTCAGGATAGACAAAGTTAGTTAAGAACATTAAGTCATTTGTTTGGTACTTACCATATTTTTGTAGATTCGTAGATGAACGATTGGCATTGTGTGGATTATTTCCTAAGGATGAGAATTTGTGTTGACATTTGACCATTTCGTTTCTTTTCGTCCTTTCTCTTCCGGCTGAAACTCCACCTACCTACCTGCCGAATTCAGTTCTGGTTCTGCGCGGTGCGTTGTTGCCCGATTGTGCGCTGAATCTTCCATGTTACCACTTTTCTATATCAAGGTATTTCTAATAAATATACACGGGAATGATATCTTTAGCTACTTATTTATGTTCAGGGAACTTAATCAAGGTGTTATAAATCATATTAGATTTGATTTTAGGGTTAATAATTGTTTACTATAGTTTACTTAGTTTTAATTGGTCAGACTCCAACCAATAGGGGTCAGGGATAGTTTTTTTGTTAGCTTAAACTCAGGAGGGGATCCGCGCAAATTTTACACTTTATTACTTCCGGTACCTGGCTGTGTGGATTGGGTGTGTCGTAGTGTTGGGAAAACTTTTGTGATTTTTGAAAATCAGCTCTTTAGGATATTTGTTTTCCAAACGCCTGATGTTGATTGTGGTCCGTCGCATGTTGAGTAATTTTTGTGGAACCCAATCGCCAATCTTTCTTGTAAAGGATCTGTATCGTCACACCACGCAGCCAAGAGCGTGGTCCCACCTCACGTTTTTCTGTAAGTTATATTTTAAATTTTGTCAGTCTTTATCTTAGTTTCCTTGACGACATATTGTTTTTTTTATTCACTTAATCCCATCTATAACCTTACGCACTTAATTTTTTTCCCTTATTTATATTATTATTTATTGCGAATTATTTATATTAACGGCAGCAGTAACAATCTATATTTTCTATTTTCTTATGATCTAATCTTAAATAGAGTGCAGATTAATAAATGATGTTATCATTGAGTGTGTTATTTGATCTTGTTTGACAAGTTTTCTTGATCAAGTAGTAGAAATTATAGTGGGTGATTTGGTGGTGGAAAATTTGTCTGGCGCCCATAACAACCTAGTTAACTAGTTAGTAGAATATTACTTCCTAATCAATCAACCCCCCTCCCCCCATCTCCATTGAGTTGGCCAAACAACCTACCGTCTACATATAGCCGAGGTAGAAAATCTTACACTCTACTGTTTAGATATCGGTAAGGGAGCGACCTTGGGTAAGGTCGTGGCAAATTTTGGCGCCCAACGTGGGGCCACTAAGGAAGAAAAGATATAAGAAAATAGAAAGAAGTTAGAAGGAAGAAAATGGCGGATAGGATGCAAGTGAACCGGCTAAACCAAGAGGAACTTACCTATGAACTCAAGATCAGAGGTATCGCTACTGGTACTGTGGATCAGATGCGACATTCTTTAGCCATGGCGATGAAATTAGAAAAGTCTGGCGATAGTGTCAAGATGCCAACGTACCCATATACTATGGAGGAGGACGTAACGGCCGTTAAAAGCAAATTGGCTGAATTGGAGCCATACGTGACAGCATTTAACAACTCGTCTACGAGTGGTGCCTTCCTAAAATTACAATCGAAATTGTGTCATACTTTGAATAGGATAGACCATATCGATGAGGAGTCAGTGGATCGACCGGAGTTGTTTACTAAGACGTTAACATTAATGGATATGTTGCTCAGTAAATCTGCAGAATTTGAAAAACCTCAAACTGCACCTCGACAATTAAGTGTTTTAGAGCAAACACAGATACCATCAGGTTCTTCGAGTCCGATACAGCATCGTGCGACTATTTCCAATGTCTCACCCAGCAGAAATCCTAGTCAATTTACGATGAAGCCAATTTTACCACATAAATGGGATCTGAAGTTTGCAGGGGATAAGAAAGGTTTATCTCTAAGTGCGTTTCTTGAACGAATCGAGGAATTACGCATAGCGCGTCATGTTCCAAAAGAGGTACTGCTTGAATCGGGTATCGATTTATTTATCGGCAGGGCCTATCAATTCTACTTAGCCTACAGAAATCAAGTAGCTACTTGGGATGAGTTTGTCACATTGCTGAAAGAAGAATATCTGCCTTCAACTTACAATGAAAAATTGATAGAAGAGATTCGTAACCGTACTCAGGGACCCGGTCAAACTATAGGAATCTACTTAGCAGTTATGACCGGATATTTTAATCGACTAACGTGCCCCATCTCAGAAGATACCAAACTTAAAATCCTGCCGAGAAATATCGCCCCATTCTACCAGAATCAGTTGGCCTTGGTTGAAGTCACGTCTATTGCGCATCTCTGTGAACTCGGTAGACGTCTAGAGGCAAGAAAAGAGGCAGTTGAGAATTTTGTAGCCCCTTCTAGGAGAACTAACGTGTTGGAACCTGATCTCGCCTATGTGCAGGTATCAGAAGTTCCTGTGGGAAGTTGTTCAGCGTCAACGTCTAGTATAGGAAGTGATGTAGGCGGTTCCGGTAAAGAAATTGTGTGCTACAAATGCAATCAACCAGGACATAGGGCCATAGGGTGTGCACAGAGAAGAGGAAAATTCTGTTATAAGTGCAAGAAGGAAGGTGTGACGGTGAAGAGCTGCCCTAACTGTGCTAATCAGGGAAACGGTTGTCGGCACACTTAGGTGATCGGGGGAAGCGTGCCGATAATACAAGCTCGATCCACAAGCTGCAAGTTATTCTCGATTATGTGCTAGATAATGCTGTTGGAGATGAACGCCCTTACCTTGCGGTAGACATTTTAGGTAAATCTGTCTTGGGTCTGTTAGACTCAGGGGCGTCGAAAACTATTATAGGAAATAAGGGTTTAACTCTTATCAGCCAGTTGGGACTATTTGTCAACACTCACAAACAGTCGTCATGTACAGTTGCTAATGGTAATCGCTGTCATAGTACTGGAACGGTGGATTTGCCGATAACTTTAAGAGGTAGGTTTAGGTTAGTTGAGGCTTTGGTAATCCCGGAGTTACGTCATCTCCTTATATTAGGAGTTGATTTTTGGCAAGTTATGGGTATTGTACCAGACTTACGGCGCAACGAATGGCATTTTTCAAAAGAACCCATTTTGGTTAATACTGTGGAGCAAGTTAGTGCTCAGACGCAATTGAGTTCATTTGTGAAATCCAGGCTACAAGCATTAATAGACAGAAATGTGTCACTCATGGGTACAGACTTAGGGTGTACAAATCGAGCTGAACATGTGATTATTACAAACAGCCCTCCCATCAAACAAAGGTACTACAGGGTCAATCCAATCATTCAGAGAGAAATCGATCAGGAACTGGAGAAAATGATCAAGCTTGGTGTAGTGGAACCGTCCAAAAGTCCGTGGTCTTCACCCATTTTACTTGTGAAGAAGAAAGATGGCACAAACCGCTTCTGTGTCGACTTCAGGAAGCTAAATGCCGTAACTGTAAGGGATAGTTATCCACTTCCCCTGGTGTCTGATACGCTAGACAAGCTGCGTAATGCGAAATATTTGTCTAGTTTAGACGTAAAATCGGCTTATTGGCAAGTGCCCGTGGCTGAGGTGTCAAAGCAATATACGGCTTTTACAGTGCCCAATCGTGGGTTATTTCAATTTCGTCGTATGCCTTTTGGGCTGCATAATGCACCTGCGACCTGGCAGAGGCTTATCGACAATGTGTTGGGTCACGATTTAGAGCCACACGTATTTGTGTATCTTGACGATGTCGTTGTGATCAGTCAGACGTTTGAGCAGCATTTGGTAGTCCTAGACGAAGTCTTTCACAGACTTCGGGAGGCTAACGTTACTGTTAGTATCGACAAATGTCAATTCTGTAAACCAGAAATGAGATACCTGGGCTACGTTGTAGACTGTAACGGTCTCCATGTAGACCCTGAAAAAGTAAAAGCGATGCTAGAATTACCCACTCCAACTTGTGTCAGAGATGTGAGAGCCATCGTAGGAACCTTTTCCTGGTACCGCAGATTCGTGCCCGAATTTTCATCTATTATTGCCCCTATGACTGCGTTGTTGCGTAAAAATTTCAAATTTCAATGGACCGATGACTGTGCAAGAGCTTTTAGAAAAATAAAAGAACTTTTGGTTGCGGCGCCCATTTTAAGTTGTCCCGACTATGCGAAGCCATTCGTGGTGCAAACTGATGCATCTGGGTTTGGAGTAGGAGCAGTGCTGACGCAACCTAGTCCTGAAGGAGACAAGGTAATTTCTTACCTGAGCCGGTCTCTTACGCGCCAGGAGCGTAACTACACGACAACCGAACGGGAGTGTCTTGCGGTCTTATGGGCAATTGAGAAACTTAGGCCTTACCTAGAGGGTGTTCGGTTCACCGTCGTGACCGATCACTATAGTTTGTTATGGCTTCAGAACTTGAAGGACCTGACCGGTCGCTTAGCGCGTTGGGCTGTCAGGCTTCAACAGTTTGATTTCGAATTAGTTCATAGAAAGGGAAAGGAACATATTGTTCCGGATACTTTATCACGGTCTGTCCCAGTTATAGATTTGGCTACTGTTGATAGCGTGCTTGTTCCGGAGAGAACTGTGACAGATAGGTGGTACACATCCATGATAGGAAAAGTTAATGAGAATCCTTTAAAATTCAGCAATTGGAGAGTGTCAGATAACCGGTTGTGGAAATATGTTGCCCTGGATTATCCTGAATTAGTCCCTACCGTAGACGCATGGAAGTTGGTGATCCCGAAGGAAGACCGCCGTAATATCATTGTAGCTGCTCATGAGCCAAATACGTCTGGTCATATGGGGGTTTACAAGACTTTTGCTAGGGTTGCACAGACATATTACTGGCCTAAAATGAAGAAAGATATAGCGGAATTCATCCGCAAATGCAAAATATGTGCATCCTATAAAGTTTCCCAGGAAGTTCCATCGGATAAGATGGTGAGTCATCCTAAGCCAGATAGACCATGGGAGATAATATCTACCGATATTGTTGGCCCACTTCTCAGATCTAAGCGTGGCAATAGCTTTATATTGGTTGTCACGGATTACCTGAGTAAGTTTTCTTTGATGTATCCACTACGTAAAGCTACTTCTGAGGCGATTGTTCGCAAGATTGAAAGCGAAGTATTTTTGATTTTCGGTATCAGTCGGATCATCATCTGTGATAATGGTCCTCAGTACAGGAGTAGGTATTTCCTGAAATTTGCGGAACGGTATCAGTGCCGTGTAAAATTTAATGCTTCTTACCATCCCAGGGCGAACCCTACCGAAAGGGTTAATCGGACATTAAAAACTATGTTGGCCATGTACGTATCCGATAACCACCGGTGTTGGGATGAGAATCTAGACCAAATAGCATGCGCCATAAGGACTGTCAAACATGAAGTTACTAAATTAACTCCCTATTTTATAAATTTTGGTCGTAACATGACTTTATCGGGTGCAGATTACAAAAAGGGTGAACTGTTAGAATTGGAGGATGGAACTCAGACAGGAGATTTAAGTCGTAACGATTCATTCAAAAAAATGTTTCAAGATGTTCGACATCGTTTAGAAGTGGCTAGTCAGAAAAACTCGGATAGATACAATCTCAGGCGACGTCATGTGGAATATTTGCCGAATCAGTTAGTCTGGCGAAAGAACTACGTACTCTCAGATGCAGCAAAATATTTTTCGCGGAAACTGGCTCCCCAGTATGTTGGACCGTTTCATATTCATAAACGAATTTCTCCATGGACCTACCTACTTAGAGACTCGCAAGGTACATTAAAGGGTGTATGGCATGTTAAAGACTTAAAACCAGGACCAGAAGATAACACGGACATTGTCTAAAAGAGAAATTTACGGAGTAAATTTCTTGAAGAAAGGGGGGAATTTGTAACATGCAATTTACGTTAATCGGTATAAAACTAAATAAATAAGTATCACATTGCATTTATTCTTTATTAATATGGTCTTACATTATATTTTCTCATTGTAATTCATTTCAAATGCAGGTTGTTTCCCAGGAATCGTTGTGGGTCTTGTCACCTTAATTACAAGGATGTGTATTGTGTATTGCCTAAAATATATTGAGGGTCTAAATTTTTAACCACCAAAACAATTATAATCGTTACCTTAATGCGTTCGTATCCAGGTCTAGTAAATCATATTTATTCATCCACAACTGTCGCCGGCTGTGAGATCCTAGGGAGAAATCGTATTAGAACTTCCCAAGTGCATGCCTAGCTCCTAGAATAGAAATAAACATTCAATCATACTGATAACCTAAAATGTAAACAAGCAACTAATCCTTAGTAGATTATCGATAGACTATACTCAGAATAGACAAAGTTAGTTAAGAACATTAAGTCATTTGTTTGGTACTTACCATATTTTTGTAGATTCGTAGATGAACGATTGGCATTGTGTGGATTATTTCCTAAGGATGAGAATTTGTGTTGACATTTGGCCATTTCGTTTCTTTTCGTCCTTTGTCTTCCGGCTGAAACTCCACCTACCTACCTGCCGAATTCAGTTCTGGTTCTGCGCGGTGTGTTGTTGCCCGATTGTGCGCTGAATCTTCCATGTTACCACTTTTCTATATCAAGGTATTTCTAATAAATATACACGGGAATGATATCTTTAGCTACTTATTTATGTTCAGGGAACTTAATCAAGGTGTTATAAATCATATTAGATTTGATTTTAGGGTTAATAATTGTTTACTATAGTTTACTTAGTTTTAATTGGTCAGACTCCAACCAATAGGGGTCAGGGATAGTTTTTTGTTAGCTTAAACTCCGGAGGGGATCCGCGCAAATTTTACACTTTATGACTTCCGGTACCTGGCTGTGTGGATTGGGTGTGTCGTAGTGTTGGGAAAACTTTTGTGATTTTTGAAAATCAGCTCTTTAGGATATTTGTTTTCCAAACGCCTGATGTTGATTGTGGTCCGTCGCATGTTGAGTAATTTTTGTGGAACCCAATCGCCAATCTTTCTTGTAAAGGATCTGTATCGTCACACCACGCAGCCAAGAGCGTGGTCCCACCTCACGTTTTTCTGTAAGTTATATTTTAAATTTTGTCAGTCTTTATCTTAGTTTCCTCGTGTAAGTTTAGATTCTAATTGATATCGTATTTACAGTTTACATAAGGCCCCATTCGCGTAAATTTGGGAAAGAAAAGTTCCTGTGCAGTTCAAATAAATTTAAGAACCCCTTTGGCCAAGGGTAAGTTTTTTCTATGCAACTTTGATCTATTTGAATATTCCTTCGTTCCACCAATTAGACTTTTATATAAATTCCTATAATTTTGATACCATGTGCTTAATTTGCGATGTTGCCGAACTGACTTTTGTCCTTTTCTCAAAAAATATTCAATGTTCAAGCATATTTACAAGTAATTGTTCTAACTGTTCAAATGGTTCGGTAGTTGCATATTTTACTGCATTTAATTCGTTTTTTTTTTCAAAGTAACATAGTGATCACTTATATCACTCAATTTTGATTTAGGGTTCTTATGTTGGGCTAGTCCGGCGAAGTAAACCTTATGAAAGATCTCTAGTCCGGCGAAGTAAACCTTATGAAAGATCTCTAGTCCGGCGAAGTAAACCTTATGAAAGATCTCTAGTCCGGCGAAGTAAACCTTATGAAAGATCTCTAGTCCGGCGAAGTAAACCTTATGAAAGATCTCTAGTCC